TCCTTGAGAACCGAATGTCATTGATTTTAGGTGATAAACAACAATGTAACGCGGTGACGAGTGATGTTTAGCCTTAAAATTATAACCAATTCGGTGATTGACAACGATGTCCAAGTGATTTCGAGCGTTAAAATCCATAATTTCTTGAGTAAATAACCCCTTGGAGGATAGACTTTTTTTAATTATTTGTTGTGTTGGGACACGGGTTTAAACTCGTGGTTTCCGAAATCGAGATTCGTTGGTTTTGCCGGACAGATGACGATATTTATCGGAACTTGCGTCTTGGAGTGATAGAAGTTTGAAAAGTGGTACGACTGATGGAACGGGTACGAGTGGACCGTCGTCCCACCCGGACGGCGGCAGAATGGTTTAGCCGGGATTAGCGCGTCCCGTATTTATACCCTAGCGAGTCCCGGGGCCCGCATGGTGGGGGGGCTCGCCAGCCTATAAATAGGGGCGCCCTAAGGACGGAGCCACATTTGCGGCAGCGCCCTCATGAGGTAAGCATCTCTGTTTGCGGAACAAAAAACGCAGGTCCGTCTCGGAAACCACATCTAGTTTAAGGAACAGCCTCACCGCGAGGCGTTAACCCTTGGTTAGGACTTCGATTAGACGCAGTACCCATCGGTCGAGGATCGGATTCGATAGCGGGCAGCCGTTTAACGATATCGGTCAATCCCGTACCCTTTGATAAGGATTTGAAGTTTCCGTTCCCATCGCTAGACCTCGTTAAATCATCCCCCCTGTTAATTAGTGCAACTCGACACCTTTACCAATGTGTACACCCATCCGCACTCAAGTGGCCATCACCCGGTCCCCTCGGTTTCCCATATTCCCTATGACCGTAGATTAAGTCCCGTAACGAACTGGACGTCTCCCCCGGGTCTGGCGCGGCCACTTCCACCGGAAGTCCAATCGATCAGTCGGGAGGTGGTTAACGCCCGGTAATTCCTGGCAGTGACCGAATTACTCCGGAGTCGTAAAGGCGATAGGCCCGAACCGTCGCACGAGACCGTCGCCCGGAACTCGAATTTGCATCCCTGGAGGGGGGTGAACCACCCTCGGCAAACAAAATGTCCATTCATATGCATATCGCGGCTGGCCGCCTTATCGCGCTTCGCCAATTAGCCGACTCCCTCGGCTCAGACCTCGTCCAGACTCTGGACGACCTGGGACTCTTCTGAACTATTCTGACCACATGAAACTTTTCCAAAAGTCCAGATCAGATGACCACTGACCATGAGAATTCCCAATTTTTGCGCGATTTTTCAAAATCCGCTGATAAACATTCAAACAATTTAAACAGTATAGACAAGGCTGGACAATTTCAGGCGAGATCGAAGTCTGACAATGAGATGATCTTAACATAGGAACCCTAAGCAAGGGTAGATTATCTAAGCGATTAACCAGGGGTGGGTTATCGGTGCGTTTTATCGGAGACATAGAGTTAGTCCGTCTTGAAATCGCATATTCAGAGTCCCTGGCGAGTGACCCCGAGCTAACTACACTTTGCAGGTCGACTTGTTGCCTAATCCAATTGCAAGAGTGGCGCTAAATTCGAAGCAGTTCGCAGTTTGGAAGTGCACACAGCTCAGGTGGCTTGGCCCTCGATGAGGTTCAGGTCGCAAACGTGGTTAGGCACGTTTAGTCTTGCTCCGACCGCGGTAGTGTCAACACCCTAAGCGGTCCGCTCGTCAACCATCTGTACGTACCTTGAAACTTTGTCAATATTAGGTTATTAAGAAGTAAGTAGTAAGAAAATTAGGTGAATATTGTATTAATTAAGATAATTCGTAAGAGAAATAAAGGATACTTTCTTACGACTGGTTACTCTTGTTTTTACCCCCTGCCCGGTTTACAACCCTTTGAAATCTACCCGGTGATTTTCTCGTCTCCAAAGGGTTCGGGGTATTTCCCCGGCTACGTCGACGGTCCTCGACTAACGGTCGCCGTTATACGAGCGGCACGTTAACGAGATATGTACGCAGCGAAATCCGGAGACAGGAGAAGTTGATTTTGCCGGGGTCCTTAAAGGGACCTCGTCACCAAGAGCGGCGGTCCTTAAACCAGGACCCTCGCTCTTCCTCTCGGTGGATGGCCGGAAGTGCGTTTGCATTTGTCACGAACTTCACGGTATGGACCATAAAACGGTATCATCTCCAGGTCTCGGAGACATTGCCTCAGGGTAGTGAGAGCCCCTGCTCCTGGAACACGAGATTTGCTCTCGTAGAATCCGGGACCGGCTCTCAAATGTTATGCATGCAGATGCGTTGAGGGGTGCGTGATAAAATCAACCCCTTCGACGTCTCTCTGCCGACTTCGTTGCACGCGATCATTATTTCACGCCGCCTTAATTTCTGCTGGTAATTCTCCTTCCGCGTGTATATTTATTATGAAAATTATATTTAAAAAATACCTACTTCGTAATAGATTCACTTTCGAGACACCGAGTTTATCAGTTTCTTACGATGTGCCGAAAGTGTATGAACTTGGTGATTACTTTTAACAGTGTAATGTTCATCAGGATGTCGCGTTTGTTTTAATTACAAGGGCCATTGAATTTTGAGAAAATCTGGAGGAGGAAATATGAACATTAGGGTTCGGTGAAAAGAGTTTAAGAGGACGCGTGTAGCTCCTAAAAAAAAAAATGCCGCACATTACGAGCCCGTAATTTCCTCGGTGCAGGGCTAATGCGCATAGCCACAACCTCTCCACCCCCAGGTGGCTTTAACGAGAATGAGTTTCGTGGTTCTTTAAGGCGGCCAACGACGTGCTTGCCACTTTAGAGGACTCGTAATGCCGATGAATAGTCGCGGGAAGAATTTAACCCCGAAAACGTCCCAAGGGGTGGAGGGCGTTAGACTTTGGGGGAGCTCAGACTCGACGACGAATTTTCAGGAGGGTGGAAAGCAGGACAAAGTGGGTCCTAGGAGGAGAGGGGAGGAGAGGACCTCGAGATCCCGGCGAAAACAGTGGAAATGAGAAAAAACTAAGTGGGGTGGGCGAAGCCGGGTTTTCTGCGTTTCCGAGACGCGAACGCCGCAATTCCGACACTCCGTTTCTGGGTGGTAGGGGATTGACGTTAACAACTGCTCGTTTTTGGTCAACTTTGGACGTAATTGAGGCTGGCTTTCGCAGACTTTGAAATTAGGGCAAGGAAAAGCTGCCCGATTGGTCGAGTGGCGCGACTCGTTTACTAGGGAGTGGAAAGGTACTCCACTTATAACGAGAATTCCCTTTGATAAATCCTGCCGACAAAGTACCGTTTAGGAAATCGGGGCTTTCGTAAACGGCACTTTGTTCCTGGGAACGATGGTGGATGTCGAATATTAAATCCGAGTGGAAATGTATTATTTTCTTATTTTTCTTAATATTCGATTCACCGGAACTCATTCTTCGTTCGTTTACCAGATCGCACTGATGTTCTGTATTTCACATTTTTTCCCACATTTGCGAGTCATTAAAATTAATAATCAAATTAATAGAGACCAAGCACTCGCAATTGATTCAATTAGGACGGCCGTGCCACGTCTTATGCATTAGTAAAGTGCGTAATGCACTTTCGAGTGCAACCCGATGTAAGGACCTCTACCTTCCTGCACCCTCGTTCAGGAATTTCGCGGATTCATTTATGCTCTCCAGGAGCTACATGGAGGGAATATTGCAACTCTCGTACACGTGTCTAGTACACCGAGGAGGCAGGCTTGGTCGAGTCTGGAATTGCATCGCGCCGTTCTGCATTTTCATTGCGATGCACCGCCGGCCAGCTCGATGCAAGAAACCTTCGGAGGTTGGTAAGCACCGCTGCAACTGCACTCCGAGGTGTCCCGAATCTAACCACGTCATTATTTTTCATTTCAATTATATTAATTATATTATATTATTTTTCAAACCGCCTCTCCGCCCAAAAAAGTCCCGATTAAAGTTCCCGAACGCGCCCAATTAAAAGATTTAGGTATCATTAATAAGAATATCTGATCGATATGACAAAAAACTCCGATTACAGTCTAGTTCAATTCAAGATTATTTATAATCAGATTCCTACACTGATGCCAAAAAAACAATATTCATTTAAGAAAAATATTCCTTCGTATAGTCCCGAAGAAATATCTCGTTAATGCGAAGAATAATTGTCGGACTGAAATAAAATGAAATAAATCCGAGCTTTTCTAGCGTAAAATCAACGTTTTAAATAGAAAGAAGAAGAACGTTCAGAATTGATAAAATATATCCAGGGTCATTTTGAAGTGTCACATTAGTAATGCTTCTCTCGATTAGTAGATGCAATTCCATGGTGCTGCAGTTCTAAGTGCACATTGTCGGCATGGACGAATCCCGCGGCGCGCAAATGCAAACTCAAAAGGACGCGGCGAAAAACGTGGGAAAAGGGGGAAGGGAAAAATGGCACACCCGGAAGTGGGTGCCAAATTGACGGAAGAGGAGAAGCGCGCACATGGAAGTGCACATGCAAGTGCATTGTCACTCGCGAGGACCATGTCCCGTGGAAAGGCAAACACGAGAGAGGACCGTCGCTCCCGAGGGCATCTTTTATTTATAAGCCGAATTGGAGCACCGCCGGCTCGTGATTCGCCATAAAGGGAATTTTTAACCGGAGATGTCGGGGAGCGCCACAAGATGGCGACAGGGCGGGGGGAATATGAAAATGAAATGGTAAATCAACGCTGAGGGAACTTTTACGCAGATCAGAAAACCTCCTCCAGGGGTGGGTTGACATTAAAGGGGGGGTGAAATTTTAACGCGGCCCGGAATTAGAACTCGTAAACGGACCGAGGTCGTAAATTTTCAGAAAATCAAAGAGCCGACCCGGTAATTCGGTTTTAACACCCCGTGGGTGGAGGTAGGAGGTGATGGGGTGTTTCGAGCCTGACGACCAAGGGAATTTTTAATGAATTCCCAGAGATTTTATCTCCCCTCGTTCTTCGAGAACCGGGAAGGAGGGAACCAGGTTTATACGCCGGTTTTTGTTTCACCTGTTCCAGGCACAACGACTTGCCCTGGAACATCCGGAAGTTCCTGAAGAACCAGCTGAGGGAGTTCCGGTTTGACGATCTCAGGGACTCCCATCCCTGGGCTCGCAGCGCCTGGAGTCACACGGATCTCAGGAGACTCAGGGAGGGAATGGTCGCTGCTCAGGTGAGTTTTTATTTATTTTTAACTTTAATAGTTCACTAGGAAATACATTCTCTGTATTGACATTTTCGGAAAGGCTGCTCCTTAAGACGTAAAATTGTAAAATGCTACGAGATGTTATTCAGACTTTTTTAATAACGTATTTTGTCAATACATGCGAAAAAATTAATTCCTGTCGATATTACGAAACAGAAAAAAAAAATGCGTCAAGATATCCAACGAGTCTCCCTTGATGTCAGACTTGGCCAACTAATTAATATTAGACGGTAAAAAAGAAGTGCATCGAGATGTCAAAGGAATTCAATAAATATGGAGACGAGGACAATGAGGGAAATTATCAGAAATAATTAAAGAATTCCAGAACCTCGATATCGGCCTCCGGATATCGTTATCATTTCCCCCCCTCCCGGAACGCATCCTCCAAGGACCTGCGAACTTCCGGAAGTTGCCTGCACTTCCGGAATTCCTCGACGAGGCATCTCGCGAAGTTCGATAATTCCGATCGACCGCGAGTTTAAACCGGAGGGTGGAGGAGAATCATCCCCCTTCTAATTCGCAGACTTTTTTCACCCCCAAGTGGTGACAAAAAAAATCTGCAAAAAAATCCGGAGAATTAATTATTATTATTTAAAGAGAATTGTTTTAAAACGGCGGAATTCCTGCAGTTCGGGAGATTCATGGACAGACCGTGATAAGGGAACGTCCTTTGGTTTACGATTACGGGGGACATTTTGCCCCTCCGGTTACATCGACGTTACTTCGCATTTATTACAGAGCGGAGCATAATGGCGGCGTGTTTATGCGTAAAGTTTATAAACGCATAAAGATCCCCCCCGCAGAGCGACGAGAGATATTAAGGGGCTTTCAAACCAAGGAAGGAACACGCAAAAGCACTTAAACCTGCGTGTCGCGCCTTAATTTCGAGAAAGACTTCCGGCCAGGACATTCGAGTTGCGAGAGATTCGTTAAACTTTCGCAAAACCGTCCTCGATGCGGTCGGCCCCGGGATAACAAGTTTTTAAACAAAACGAAACGCACCGAGTAACGAGTTTCCCCGGTTCGCTTCGAAATTCCACCGCGAAAAAGGAGGGCCGAAGTAATCCTCACAGAGAAGTTCGGGAAATGTCCTGGAATTACTAAGTAACTAAATAACTAAATAACTATTCCCTGACAGACGGGGAATTAAAATTGCGGAATTGCACAAAGAGCAGTTCCACGTGACCGGCCCCAGTGATGCGCTTTTAAAGAATTTTTAGAGGTTATGTCGAAAAGCCCTCTTAAGGTGAAGTAAAACACGTCGAGGAACTTGATCAACGACGATAAAGAAGATTTTTCTAAATGCCTACGTTGCCGACGTTCGTTTTTATATTGACAGCTGGGTCGAATTATATTGGGTATTGTACCAAATGGCATACTCCACCTGTCGTTTTCGTACAATAATTATAAAGAAATCGAAGTAAAACTCCAGAAATCCTCTGGATTCATGCTTTCTGGGGCCCTAATTGACTGCAGAGGGACCCCCTGCGCCATCTGTGATTTCCAGGTCAATTAAATTTTCACTCCGAGACCTCGTATTACCATCGTTTTAGCATAGAAGCGCATACAACACTTTTTTTGCCTTTATCCCGTTCAAATGCGAGTTTATCGATTACCAGAGTGTTCTAAATTCTCGTAAAATTGTCCTGACCCTTTCGATTCTCATATCAGAGCCTTCGATAATTGTATATTGATCGAAATATCAGAGCTCGACGCCATTTTGGTTCTGGTCTGGAATGAGTTAAAAAATTTTGTTGAAAAATCCAAATTTTCAATGTGTCAGGACAATTCTTAGATGATCAGGAGGGATGTGTCAAAGTTTCGGACAGTTTGGTCTAATACCCTTAAAAAAAAGTGTTGTATTCAAATCGACTGATTTGAAGGATGTTTCACTTCACCTTAAACTTCGAACGTGACATTTCGAGAAGGAATATTAATATTTCGGGAGATAAATTTTCGACGGATGGTATAATGACGTGGGGGGGAAAGAAAAAATTGGCGAAACACTCCTGCCGCTCGGAAACATCCTAAATTGAGCCATGTCCGGAACTCGAAGTGCACCCCCGGAAGTTCCCCTCGAAAATCGTGCACCCTCTCATTTCATTTAATGCTTCGTGTCGCGGGAGCTTGTAAACAGTATATTCGGTGCATTTCTGGTGTTAGCGTTGCGCACTCCGCATTTCCGTGGCTGCAAACGAGGTGACTCCGACGAGTCGAGGATTTCAGAGGCCCTCTCCCTTCCCCGTCCCCGGGGAGTGGAGAAGCTTTCAGAATCGCACGATTTTCAAATTTAACAATTTCAGAAGCCTGAGTGCTCTCTCGGGTGAACATCGCGGAACCGCGGCTGGGATTTCGCGTGAGCAACCCGGAAATGCGTTCCCCTTGCATACCCCTTTTAACGAATCCAGGGCTTAACCCCATAGGATCCCCTAATGGACCAATAGGTCTTCCAACATAGTTTCCCTATCTAGGGACCCCGCTAAACACCTTCCTAGGCATCTTCCCCCTCGTCATCTACTTTTGGAGTTAATTATCCTTTTCATTCCCTCTGAGAAAATGAAAAGANCGGTTCGAGTCTCCCGCACAGGCGATGACGCTTGGATGGGAATGGCGGCCGATTCGATTGCCGGAGACCCTCGTTTCCGTGAGGGATGTCGATAGTGTCGTGGAATGACGTACGAGATTCGTAATTCGTTCGAGCTCTTCAAACATTTCCAACCGTGCTTCCTCGTCTCCGGACGTTGTACGAGGTGCAGTCGCTCAATTTGTCGCGACGCGTCGCCCGGGTCTTTGGGTATCAGCCGCCATTGCCGGAGGTCCTCGAGTATCAGCCCGGAAATCCGACGGCGTCCTCTTTCTTCCCCCTATCTTCCCCGAGTCTATTTCTCTGGTTCCTGATCTCTCTGCAGTATCTGCGACGAAATTCTGGAAAGAATAGAGTGGTCGGGAGCCGTGCAGACGCGCCGCCATCTTGATTCCGCTCATTGTCAAAGCTACGAAACTCGATCAAATATAATTTCAGATAACCGCAAATGACAAGAAATGCAATGTTACGATAAATAAAATGTATGGCCAGGATCTTATACCTCGATTACGGTACTTTTAATCGCTGTTAGTTTAACATCTTACTTGCAAAACTCGCCGAAGAACTTGTTATTACCCCGGGCCGAGATCGCCGCCATCTTGATTCGATCGATCGATCGATCAGACGCGCCGCCATCTTGATTCCGCTCATTGTCAGCGCTACGAAACTCGATCTACTATAAATTCAGATAACCGCAAATGACAAGAAATGGAATGTTACGATAAATAAAATGTATGGCCAGGATCTTATACCTCGATTATGGTACTTTTAATCGCTGTTAGTTTAAAATCTTACTTGCAAAACTCGCCGAAGAACTTGTTATTACCCCGGGCCGAGTTACGTAAGACCACCCTCTTCGGCAGTTTGCTCCTTCCGTTTCTTTCATGACACCCCTCGCCCATAATGGTCCATAATGGTTTTACGGCCCCTCCCCTTCTTCCGCAACCCCGACTCGATATTTCCCAAGAAATCGGCGAAATTCGCAAGTCTTGAGAGTCGGGACATTTTTCAAGTCCGAGGAGTTTTCTCACCTCTTCGAGACAGGGTCAGCTAGAATCGATCAATGTCCGGATTCGCGGACGTGAACTGAACGCCAGGAATCCATCTTGGAAAGGCGTCTGAGAGTTTCCGCAGCGGGGACGCGGACGGAATGTCTGTGGCTTGCTTCCGCCTTTGCTCTTAGGGCGGAACTTCCGGTCGGGGGATGAATGAAGGTCCGGATTGCTTCTGAGAACTCAAGGCATCCCGCGGGATTTCGAGTTGTCCCGGGTTCCCTTAAATTTCCTGTTAATTCGGCTCTGCTTTTCCCTATACAAGATGGCGGCCATTTTATTAAGCCTCAAAAGAAATCTGCTGATAAAATAAATAAATAAAAATCCCCGACTAGTCGAGGCTCACGAATTCGGACATCGGGAAATGTTGGAAAAAAATCGGGAAAAATTCGGAGATCCCGGATTTTTCCAGCCCCCCGATTCGAGAATCGATCAACCCCGCATTGCGCGGCCCGATGAAAAAGGCAAAAACGAGGGTAAATCGAAAAACGAAGATTTTTCTTTTTTTCACCGAAAACGAGCACATCCCCCATCGCGAAGGGTGCACTTCCCGATGGCGGAATGGGGATAGAAATGCCTCGAAAAAGCTGCTCAAACTCGCTCCCTGTACCCGACGAGTGGGGATGATGGAAGTTCGAGGCACTTTACCACCCTTAACCTTCGACCAAGTAACGAGGTTTCAACCCCCGTGGCTTAAATAAATGAACCTCGATCACAACTTTTACAAGCCGCGGTATCACCAAGTAACAATGAGTGTCAATGAGTCCTGAATGCGATTTTCACTAAGCCACCCCTAACAAAAGGGGTGGAAACTACCACTTCCCCAGCCCGGAATGCAAGATCTCGGTAAGTCGGAATTGACGGGGCCGAAAAACCTTCGGGAAAAACTCGAGCACTTTAGAACTCACCCTTAGCACCTAACCCACCCCTTTTTTTGAAGAAACTCAGTGGCTCTAAGAAAGCGCAGATGCTTTACAGCACGGAGCATCACGAAGCATATACCCGCAACTCGATTCATCACTGTCGTCGCTAATTTAGACGTGGACGGAAAAGGGATGCTTCGCAGGGGTGCAAAGACGTATCGATCGCACCGCGTCCGATACGCGAGTGATCGGTAGTCCTCAACTTGGGCAATTTTCAGCCGGGAAAATCCAGGAGTTAACAAAAATCGGTGATTAACACTAGTTTATTATTTTTCATTTTTTTTTAGTGCGTCAATAAATACGTTAACATTATAAAGAAGTGTATAGCTTTTTGCGGATGCGGACATCATGCGGTTTAGGATCAAGCACCTTTTTCTTGGACGTTCGTTAGGTAGTGGGGGATAGGGGTCGAGCGCCCGGGAGCGCTCAGTCGCGCACCGGCCGCCCTGCAGGACGGACGTTCGCCCAGAAGACCTCGGACCCACGCCCCAACGGAGAATCGCTGCTCCGTTTTATCGGACAAGTTGCGGAACTTCGGTTCCTCCGGGTCTCCAGACACTTCAATCAGGAGATACGCCGAGTTGGAGAAGAATCCTCCCCCGTGGCTGCACCCCCGAGAATATAACTCCGTACTCCCCCTCGGGCTGCCGGAACGGCTGGAAGTTAATTGAAGGAGTAATTTCCTATCAGTTGGAGATGCGTACATTACCTGAATATCTCCTTATCACGGCGTGCCCCTTCTGCATATCTTGTATTAATATATTAATCTAATAATTATTGTAGTACTCCATAAAGTTCTACGCCTGGTTGCGGTTTTATTCTTTCTACACCCTTTATACATGTCGTAGGCTGATAGTAAACTCCGACGTTTTTGTAAAATACCGCCAAATGTCCAAGTCCTCGTACACTTAGCTTTATTTTACAATCCGGCTAGTCGCTTTGTAGAATTACTAGCCGGATTGTAAAATCAAACTAAGATTTACCATTTGGCCGCGTTGTATAAAACGATAAGGCGTTTTACTAAACGGCGGATTTTACAATCTGGCTGCGACATATGTATATTATTTTGCAAACCCTGGAAGTATCCCTTCCTCTTCGGGGTCTGAAAAAGTGGATACGGACCCCTGGTGCATCCTCTTCGTGAAACTGCACCATGTGGCGGCAGCCAAAGGGTTGCCGAGCCAGGAATCGAGTGTTCCTTCGTGTAGACACGGAAATTCTCGGCGTGCAATTGTCAGCACGAGCCCCGCAAATTTAATCGCGAGCGGTTAAACAGAAGCGGTTCTCTCTTCCTGCTCTGCATCTACTCTATCTCGACCTCGAGGCGGTTTCCAGGCGTTCGCGAAATCCACCCACGGGTACCGTTTAACATGGAAACAGAACCGAAACGTTCCTCTTCGAGTTTCGGCGGCAAATTTGCCAAATGCTGTACCAACTCATTCGTAAAAAGCAGCCCAGAAAGGAAATAATAGAAAAATTCAAGCCACCGAGACTAAACACCCTTAATTTCGAAAAATCAACCTCGAACTAAAGTCTGATGTTTAACAAAATGCATATTTCCGAGTTTATAAATAATGAATATTGAACGACATTATTTGTAGACGGAAAATAGCGGAAATTGCGATGATCGCGTTCTGGGTCAGGGTGTGTCATCGTTTTAACCGATATTAATTAAGATCAATCCAAACATGAATTACAACTGGTTAATTTCGTAATGGATTTTAAAAGCTGGGATTAATAAAATGATCGCAAATTTCCATTACATGAGTAATGGTGGTTTATTGGGCTGCGTTGCATTGACTCGTTATTGGCCGATATCGACTTTATTGAGTTCACGGATGATGTAGCAAGATTGGCAAATTTCAGGGCGAATATTTTATTAATTATCAAGGCTTCTCTCTTCGATACCGATTCTTCTTGAAATTCCAGGTCAAGATGGATCGAAAATCTTGATTACGATATTCCGTTCGGAATATACGAAGTCAACCACTGAAGTCAGGGAGAAAAAGTGGCATCTTGAAAAATAGATTACCGTAGAAGGATTATAATTTAGACATTCACAATCTTAGGGATATTTTAGCTTTGGAATAATTATATATTATTTTCTTTCCGTAGTTCTGGTCGGCGTACGTGCCGTGCTCTTCCCAGCATCTCGACTCGGTCCAGCTCGCCCTGGAGCAGATCGACCTGATCCGGAGACTGGTCAACAAGCATCCACAGAATATGGTGCTGGTCACCTCGGCCGAGGGTGAATATCATTTACAAAACCTCAACCATTAATCACGCACCACCCCATTTCATTTTTCTTATCAAATGTTTAAAAAATTCCCTCTTGGAAGATTTTCCTCGGTCCCCAAAAATTCCGAAAAAAATATCCGGGTTTTTATATTTATCTCCGCGATTCGCCACCCCATCATGAGAAGCCATTCTCACAAATAGTCGACGACAAACCAAGCACCACCCCCTTTAATCTTTCTTATCAAATGTTTAAAAAATTCCCTCCTGCAAGATTTTCTCAAGTCCCGCGATTTTCCCCAGTCCACAAAAATTAAAAAAAAAAAATATCCGCGTCTTTATATTTATCTCCGCAATTCTCCACCCCATCATGAGAAGCCATTTTGACAAATACTCGACCAGAAACCAAGCGCCACCCCCTTTAATCTTTCTTATCAAATGTTTAAAAAATTCCCTCCTGGAAGATTTTCCTCGGTCCTCAAAAATTCCGAAAAAAATATCCGCGCTTTTATATTTATCTCTGCGATTCACCACCCCATCATGAGAAGCCATTTTGACAAATACTCGACCAGAAACCAAGCGCCACCCCCTTTAATCTTTCTTATCAAATGTTTAAAAAATTCCCTCCTAGAAGATTTTCCTCGGTCCCCAAAAATTCCGAAAAAAATATCCGGGTTTTTATATTTATCTCTACGATTCACCACCCCATCATGAGAAGCCATTTTGACAAATACTCGACCACGAACCAAGCGCCACCCCCTTTAATCTTTCTTATCAAATGTTTAAAAAATTCCCTCCTAGAAGATTTTCCTCGGTCCTCAAAAATTCCGAAAAAAATATCCGGGTTTTTATATTTATCTCCGCGATTCGCCACCCCATCACGAGAAGCCATTTTGACAAATACTCTACCAGAAACCAAGCGCCACCCCCTTTAATGTTTCTTATCAAATTTTTAAAAAATTCCCTCCTGGAAGATTTTCCTCGGTCCTCAAAAATTCCGAAAAAAATATCCGGGTTTTTATATTTATCTCCGCGATTCGCCACCGCATCATGAGAAGCCTTTTTGACAAATACTCTACCAGAAACCAAGCGCCACCCCCTTTAATCTTTCTTATCAAATGTTTAAAAAATTCCCTCCTGGAAGATTTTCCTCGGTCCCCAAAAATTCCGAAAAAAATATCCGGGTTTTTATATTTATCTCCGCGATTCGCCACCGCATCATGAGAAGCCTTTTTGACAAATACTCTACCAGAAACCAAGCGCCACCCCCTTTAATCTTTCTTATCAAATGTTTAAAAAATTCCCTCCTGGAAGATTTTCCTCGGTCCTCAAAAATTCCGAAAAAAATATCCGGGTTTTTATATTTATCTCTGCGATTCACCACCCCATCACGAGAAGCCATTCTCGCCCGGGGGGTAAATACAGCCCTGGCCATCATCGGTCCCTGGCCATCGACCACCCTCGAGGACGAGTCCGCTCGTTCCACCCTCTCCATCCTGGCGTCTCTTTTTTCCCCTTGCAAAGCCCGATCGCGCGAACAAAGCTTTCGCGATAAATGGAAGGGTTGAACGGTAACGCATTCCCGGGCGAGCATGTGGACAGTTTCTCCTCTCCACGAGATCCCATCCGCGGTCCATCCACGGTCCATCCGTCTGGCTCTTGTCCAGCAGAATCGATTCCACGACTCTTCGAGTTTCCCCCCCGACCCTCGAACGCCATTAATCGCGAGTTATCATTTAATTTGCATACACGCGCCGATAAATGGCTCAGGAAACGGAGATGAAACTCTTTTCTGCCCGGAGGGGGCGGAAATAATTCACCACCCTGGCCCGCCATCTTCCTTTTCTTACGCCTCTCAGAAATTCTACTACACCCTGAGACTTGGATATTTCATAACCAGACATAGTAAAAAGAATATTCGGTATTAAATAAATTACCTCGTTAAATTTATACGATTATTAAATATTTAGGGCTCTAACATGGAGCTTGAATTTCATCGGGGGGTTTTAAACTTCCCACTTTATGTTTGAGTGTTGAAAGTAACGCATGAATTTTCAAGGCAGTGATTAAGGTGAAGTGAAACATCCTTCAAATCAGTCGATTCGAATACAACACTTTTTTTTAAGGGTATTAGACCAAACTGTCCGAAACTTTGACACATCACTCCTGATCATCTAAGAATTGTCCTGACACATTGAAAATTTGGATTTTTCAAAAACATTTTTTAACTCATTCCAGACCAGAACCAAAATGGCGTCGAGCTCTCATATTTCGATCAATATACAATTATCGAAGGCTCTGATATGAGAATCGAAAGGGTCAGGACAATTTTACGACAATTTAGAACACTCTGGTAATCGATAAACTCGCATTTGAACGGGATAAAGGCAAAAAAAGTGTTGTATGCGCTTCT